AGTATAGACAATGTAGCTTCAGCTCTGTCAATTGTACAAATACATATATAGGACAGGATCAGGGGAATTAATTTCTTCCTAACCACACACTCCTAACAGATTTTGGTATCCTGTTGCTGTTTTCCAGAGCTGAACTCTGACCAAAAGGGATAGGTAAAAACAGGGGCTGCCACCAGACAGGTGCAAATCACCAAGGCTAAAGCATTGGCCAGCAAACAAAAGCAAGGGTGAGAGTAAAGTCACAGAGGCAGGACAAACGAGACTATCCATGAAACTGTTTCTGTAGTTAGTCTCCAGAAAGACCCTCCTCTGAGGCCCAGGACTATGAGGGGAGGGAGCCTCAGATGAAGCAGTAAACCTGGTACTTCTAGATGGGGTAACTGGATGTTGAGGGCATAGTGAGGCTGGGTTGTTTCAGAACTACACTTTCGTGGCTTTGCTGAATGGGGGTGAGAACCAGGAATCCTCTTGGGGGTTAACAAGTTAAAGGTATCCTGATGAGATATTCCATATGAAAGGCTGAGCACAAGTTCTGGAACTCAGATTGGAATGGAAGCAGCTGTGTTCCCTTTTTCCTAAGCCTGTGTCTTCATCCCTTTCTCCAGATTGGTCCAGATATCAACTAGTAGCACAGTCATGTCTTCTTGTAAACAGAGTGATTCTACTCTTTGAACATGAAATTAAAGGATCTGCCAATGTGAACTTGTTTTGTTTACGCTTCCCTACAGACAGACAGTGTTGTTTATTTTTGTGTTGTTTGTGCTTTATTCCTGACTAGACTTCAACTGAAGAACTAGGACAATGTTTTCAACAGTTTTAGCATGCAACTTTATTAACCTGTAAATGAAGTGTCAAATGAATACATTTATGTCAATATAAAGCACAGAAATATATCTTACTTAGGATGAGTAGTTTCATTATCAGGTCGTGTTACAAAAATACTAAAATGATCTCAATTTATATAGCACAATACAAGACCATTTGGTATCCATAAAATTGCCTCCTTCAATCAACACAAATGACATAAAGACAATAACTTACAATATGCATTGGTTTCATATTATGACACCAAAAACTGTTCAAGGTTTTGTGAGAACATTCGGCTATTCAGAGTTTGAGTATTAATCGTATAACTTTATCTCTCACCTCAGGATCACTGTGCTCTGCTAAGTCTTGGAGTTTCTGACTAAACTCTTTTGCTTCCTGGAATATGGAAATAAGTTCAGATTTAGTGAACTCTTCCTTGGTAAATAGCTTCACCCTCTTTTTGAATTGGAAATTTATATTCTCAAATATTTCAATGATATTAAGAATATTGGCCTTTGACTCATTCTTGTTAAAAGGAGCAACCAATGATGACAGTACTTTAGCACTGATGAGTTCTCTTGTATTGGCTTGATTTTTAGACAAGCGCAAAAATACTTTTAAAACATAAAACTTGGTTTTGACACTTCCCTTGTTTAACAAGGTGAGGAAATCTGGAATATAACTGGCAATCGTATGGTGATCCTCAAATTTCACACTCAAACACTCTAATAATTTTAGTCCATCAAGTTGCACAGGGGAGTTCAAAGGATAAGATATTATGTCCTTACAAACTTGATGTATGGACAACTCTCTTGTTTTTAGTTCTTCAGAAGACTCAGAGTTGTCATCCACCATATTTAAAGCTCTAGGGTGTTCTATAACATTGGGATTATTGACCAAGTTTTCAATCATAACAGTAATACCTACATCATGAATTATATCTTGGGTAAATGGATAAGCAGGACTGATTCCCATTATAATCTTAGCTATTTGATGAATGAAAGGATCCTTAGTTAACTTAAGTAGGGCAACTAATTTATCGAACTCTTTAGGCTCTAAACTAAAGTAACGTGATCTGCAGCGGCAGGTTTTTGGATGGATCCCATACTTTTCCTTATACCTAACCTGTTCTTTGATCTCAGCTAAGGTCTGAAAGTAAGGCCCATCATAGGGCGGGATCTTGGTCAGAGGCCGAATCCCCAGAGGAGTTTCAATCAAGGTCTCAACCAGAGTCCAATTCCCTTCTGGAGGCAAGGATCGCTCCCCTCCCTCTATTGGGACTAGGACACTATACCTGGCCCTTGACCATGCTGCCGCTTTTCGCTTTATAGTAAGGTCAGGTTCGGGTGTGAGCTCGGGCATTTCCTGGATCTTAGGTGGCGGCTTATAAACTTGGTAAGGGTTCTCTTCCTCAGGCCAGAACCAGGATCCTAAACTAGGCTCTTCTCCAGTCCAAAACCAGGAGCAGATATTTTCTTCATCCTCATCACTGGACTCAATTATAATATCAGCTCTGTCCCCAGCCCTGAACTTGATGCTGGCCTCTGTCCTTCTCTGGGGCCTAGATCCAATATTGGCCTTATCATCAGCTTTGGCAAAGGACCTGATATTGGCTTCACTTCCAGCATCAGCCTTGACTTCAAACTTGGTCACAGCACTGACCCTGGATGTAGGGATGGCCTTCCAATTGTTTTGGGGTACTACATCAGGTTCTGCCAGGGGTTCTGCCTTAGTTTTGGCCATGACTCTAGTCTTAGTCTTAGCTTTCATCTTGCTCATGTCCCTTGTCATAGCCATGGCCTCAGTATAGGACACTGTTTGTGTCCTGGTCACTGCTACATCCCCAGCGTTGGCCTGGATCACTCACTGGTCCTGTTTTCAGTTCTCCCTCACCCACTGCCTTGGTCTGGATCTTAGCCTTGGTTCTAGCGTTGTCAGGGCCACTGCTTCCAACTTTCAGGCCAACTCCAGTCCCTCCTCTGCTCCTGCCTTAGCCTTGGAGTCAGTCACAAATCAAATTAAAGGCAAGGCCAATTTATATACCCCACCCCCATCACAGTCTTGACCCAAGGTCTGTTCCAATTTGGTGTTTTCATACAGAGTCCAGTAGTCACTCAGCCCCCTTTCCAACTACAGCTGCCAATTATATAAACAACGTGCAGAGGAAGGTCACTCGGGGAAGGTAAGGATGACCGTGTGCCTGAGCATAGCCCTGTGGAGGGTGGTGATCTTCAGCCACTCCAAGGCCACCAGATCTGCCACTGAAGTTGGACCTAGGGGTAGAGGAAGGAAATGGGGCTTTGAGTCTCTTCCAATTTTTTTCTCATTTTGATTATCACAAAGAGACAAGAGAGTATAGAAATTCAATGCTAAGTGGAAGAGGTAGATAATTAGCAATGTCTCCCTTAATTTTACATTCCTTACAACAGCAGGTGCTACTAATCTTTCCAGACACAAAACAGGAGTATGGAGAATGGGAAAGTTGGATGGGAGCGAGGGAGACTGAGGAATCCCTAGACTGGCTCTTTACTCCTGCTGGACCCAAGCAGATCTCCATTACCTCATCCTATAAGGCTACTGAGGAAGTCTCCACACCCACAGCAACTGCACTGATCCTCCTTTCCTTGCTTCCAATGATGACAAACCTTACAGCACAACTACAGGCAGATCTATGGACAAATAAACAAACAGGAGGATATGGAAACTGATCTCTTGGTAGACACCTTGGTCCCTATTCCCTATATTTGTAGTTTGTCTACTGTTTCCCTCCTCCACTCCCCCACTGCCGTGCTTCAGGGCTGCTGCTCCTCCTCCGTGCTGCTCACATTTTTCCCTTCTGTGACTGCCCTGCCATTTCCCTACAGAATTGGGCTACGGTGAAACATACAGATAGGAATAAAATCAAGTGGGAAGTGAGATGAACAGATGTTACTCTTCTATACCCCCAATGCTTATGAAGACTCCCAACCAAATCAGCAGGGGAGAGAACAGGGATTAGGAAAATGGCAAACAGAAGGGATATAATTCTCTAGTTTCAATCATTCCCTGCTCCTCTACCTTCACACCAATCTTAACATATATAGGGCAGGCATTTTTCATCATCATTTCCTGGCTTCAAGTTGCGTTACCATTTATAAACCTTCACATCAACTGAGAGTTTGACAGAAGCAGAGAACACACAGAAATTCACAAACCCAGAGATAAATAAATAGAGACACTGATCCCTTCTGGATATGGATACCTGTTGGCCAACATTTTCTACCTCCCTTTCTTCCTCCCCTTCACCCCAAATCTCTCATCTGCTCTGCTCCATTTCCAAAGTCTGCCAATTCCCCTGCAGAGGCAACTCAATCATCCCTGCATGTTAGTGGTGGTGTCGGTATGGATGGAGTGCTAAGATAAGCCATAGAATTTGGCTGGGAAATCAATGAAAAGTATCATTTACAAATTTCATCTAAGTTCTTATGTTTCCTTACTCTCCCCAAAGCCTGTTATTTTCTGCAACACAATGAGAGTACAGGGGGACTGTTTGGAAAGCTGGCATAGAGATCTGGGTTTTCCTTAGATCCCTACCTGCTCTAGTCTTAACCATCTATCACCTCCATGCACTGTCTACAAAAATGTGGCTGATTTTCTTTTTCTTATACCCTCCCTTTGATGTCTGCTGCCCCCTACAAATCCTCACAGAAGCTGAGGTACCAGCAAATTTCGGAGCAGACCTACACATATACACACATGATACACACCCAAAAATGAAATGAAAAGACATTCGTAGAGACTTGGTTATTAATAGTCAGAGTCTTTACCAGGACATGAGACCCTCTTCTAATTCAGGGCTTTGATTATCAAACACTTACAACCAGCTTTTACACTCTCTCCCTCCCAGGGCTCCCCCAGGCAATTGTTCTCACAGGGAGCAGCAGACCCTCCTACTATATAACCCTCCATTTCTCCCCTAGAAGCTGCTTATTGCACTCCTTTTCCTTCCCAAACTTGGTAGGAGGTGGGGAGAAGGTATGGAAATCAAGCTAGCAGTAGACAGATCATTTTACATTTATCATTGTGTGTCACTCAAATTGCCTCGGTCGGTCTCGCACTCTCACCGCGCGCGCCCCATGACCAGGTCACGTATCCCACATTCATCTCTGATACTCATATCCACCCTCCCAAACAATGGCCGCCTTCTCACTGACCTGCTCTGCTTTGATCAGGGGCAGTTTTCTCATTTCCTTGCCTCAAGTAGTGCCGTGCCCTATAGAAAGAGGGACAGTCAGTCAGACGGACACAAGGACACGAGACAATGGCGGCGACTGTTTGGGGATTGGCCTGGCGCCTGGGGCGAGATACCTGCTTTATCAGATTAAGGGCCATAATTACAAACAATAGTCACCTTTAGCTATTCCGTTTTCTTCCCGTCCCCAAGGCTGCTCAGGGACCCACTCCTAATGACTAAATTAACTGCTACCTTTTCCTCCGCAGACTCTGCCTTGCCACGTCCCCAATCCCAAAATCGACTGCGGGAGGAGCTAGCGTACTTTAAGGGGATCCGGCCAGAAGGACGCGGACTGATACCAAACTCTGCAGAGTGTCGATTCTCCCTCAGTCGGTGAGCTACGTACGCCCCGCCTGCCCTGGCTGTTTCCGGTATTGGAATGGGCAGGGGCGGGATCTGGATTTTGAGACAGCCCTGCTGGGAGGAGAGAAGCAGGCTTACGTTAAAGGGTGTCGGTATTATTTCCCCTCTTTTAGGCGCTCCCCCTACCAAGCTACATTCCCACCCCCCAGACTGCAGTATACGCGGGTTTCAGGCGGTGGTGCCAGTGAATCAGCCCCAGCCTGATGAGGCGGACGGATACCAAAATGTCGTGTTGACACATTCACATCACCAAATCCCTAAGCCCCAAACCCACCGAAATAGTTGGGCTGGGGGAGGGAGCCGAAATAAGAAGGTTGAGAGAGAGGCTGGAGACTGAGCAAGGAGGATGAATTCTACCCTATTCCAAAAACTGTACATCCCCTCTATGAGAGAAGACCGTCCAAGCCGCTCCTCCAAGTACTCTATTTTCTACACGAAATGGGAAGGGGTGGGGTAGGGCACCTAGAAAGCTGCTCTGGTCTGATACGTTTATCAGTATCAAATAACTTAGTCTTTTCTTGTTCCTCTAAGTCTCTCACCTTATTGCCTACCAGATTTCCTGCACAAAAATAGTCGAAGGTAAAGGTGGGATACAGACGTAAGGAAAGCAGAAATGGACACGAAGAAGCATATGAAGACCAAAATATCCTTGTGTGTGCATGCATGTCCCATTCTTATGCCCTGCCTCCCCTCCTGATGCCCATGATATTTTTCGCAACTAAATATGCAGGGGCCTGAGTGTTGGCATGAGGAAAATAATTCTGTACTCATGTAAGAAGATTAATATCCAAATAACTTTGTGGCTGTGTACCACCTCTCCCCCTCTCCGGCCCCCCATCACATAATTTACTTATTTGTCACCTAAAGTGGAACTGAGGTAAGCAGCGACTGAAATGAAAACATATTAAATCTCAAACTATCCAAATATCCCATTGTGGGCCCCTTCTAGGCCTGACCCACCGTATCTCCTGCACAAAAAGTCAGGTGGGTAGAGGAAGTGTCAGGAAGGCAGGCTGAGAGAGGAAGGGAAGTTTAAGGCCAGACTGCTTTGGAGGTTCTTGGGTGGCCCTCCCAAATTCTGTTTTCATTGTTCATGGGGCCACAGAGGGGAGGAAGGTGGGAGGAGGCACCAATAGAAGCCTCACCACTGACTCTCTTCTATAGGAGGGCAGACCTAGACCTTTAGCCTGAGGAAGCAATCCACTGCCCTGAGCCCAGAGTAATTCTTTCTGCCACACAGCTTTTATTCTCATTCAACATTTGACATTTTGCTCTCCCCACAGTTGCCCCCAGAAGAGGACATTTCCCTGTCAGGACCTGCAGCAGGTCATACAATCCTCCCTCTCTGTTGCCAAGTGTCAAGCATCAGGTAGATTGGGTTCTGGCTCCTTTTCCACTTCCTTCTCTAAGGAAAAGGAACACTATCTTCACACTTCTCAAGGAACATACCAGCTGTTCTCCTGACCCCTAATGAATGCATATGCTCTTTCTTCCTGAATATATAAATTTTTTTGACCTTCCATTCCAAGGAGTAGCAGGAGGGAATTTGAATTAGACTGTAAGGTCCATGAAGGAAGGGCCCCTTAACTCAGTCTTGTTCACCACTGTTTCCTTGGTGCCACACATAGATGACAAAGTACTCAATCAATAGTTGAAGGAACTGAGGAGCATTGAGTCATGAGAATTCCATGGTACTTGCTATTGGTTGCAGATCAATACCTATCTATAGATGTGTCTTTTCCCTTGATGTCTGTAACCACAGGCTTTAACCTAGAGTCTGCCATGCTGCAGATGCTCTCTGTATAATTTGTCAATGGAGGAAGGAAGCGAAGATTTTAAACAATATATATTTTAGAAAGACACCTTGGGGTATCTTAATATTTCATATTGTAATGAACATTTTGGGGGATACATATAATTTGGATTTGATATTAGTAGTTTGTTCATTTTTTTCTTTTTCTGTCTTACATTCATGCTTAAAACAGTTCCCTACCCCATGTCCTTTTGGGGAGTCCACTTCATAGTCAATGTAGAGGCCTGACCACCGCATTGTATTTCTGAAACTGATGTTGAATAATACTTTATGTCAACTATAATTATATATATACATATAGTCTCGGGACATGGAGTAGAGAGCGGGAACGGATTCAATGGAATTGTAATAGATAAGCATGATATCGGGGGTGGGAGGGCAATAGATGGGGGGAGGGGGTTGTTACCTGGTGAGGGTGAAAAGGGTAACTATTGCATTGTTCTGTACACCTGAAACGAACAATAAAAAATAAAAAAAACAGTTCCCTACAAAGCTCCTTAATATATAGCAGTGGTTCTCAACCCGTGGGTCGCAAACCCTTTGGGCAGTGAATGACCCTTTCACAGGGATCGCCTAAGACTATCGGAAAACAAAAACATATTTACATTACGATTCATAACAGTAGCAAAATTACAGTTATAGAGTAGCAA